CTGGGGCGGTGGGGCCGGTGCCAGGCAGGCGCGGGGCCGGATCCAGACTCGCTGCCTGCAGATGTTGCCTTTTTAGGCACTGGAGCGCAGCACATCCCTGCCTGTGACCGGCCCCGTGCCGAGCCAGCGCCTGCTGGCAGAGCGGGGCCAGCCCCTGTCCTGGGCATGCGGAGGCACCTCTGTCCCCTTCCTGACCCCCAAACCCCCATTTTTCCCCCAAACAGGCCTGGGGATGCTACCTTCTCCCCCTTCCCCTAGTCGGCACGTGGCAATCCTGGGGCGGATTGCTCAAACCGCCCCAGAGTCCAGACCTGCCCTTATTTGGGTTGAAATCAGGGCTATTTTGGTGCTGCTGCCGCCATCGCAACCCCTCGGAGCTTCCCTGTGTGTTGCCTTCCCCATCCTGTCCCATCTCCCTGTGCCGGGGCTGCTGGCCTGGCCAGCTGCAGGCTGCTGTGGGCTGTCACACTCCCGACCGTGCCGTGGGTCTCGGGGTGCCGGTGGTGGCCCCCGGGGCTGCTGCGGGGTGGAGTGGCTGGTGTCCCCCGTGGTATCTCAGCCCCAATCTGCAGGGCTGGGCGCACCGGGTGACCTCTGTCATGGCCCTGCTGCCGCCTTCCTGGCGGGGATGGGCCACGGGGCGGCTCCCCGGGGACATACCGGGGCGGGGAGACAGAGGGGATGGGGTCCGTCCCAGCTTGGGGGACATCCCTGGCACGGTGATGGCTCCTTGCTGTGCGGTACCCTCCCCGGGTATCACCAGCATCTCTTGGGCAATGCAGGGGCAGGGCAGCCTGGTGGCCTCTGCCCTGCCAGGGGCGCTGCCAGGCATCCCGGCACGGAGGGGGCGGCATGATGACAGTCCCTAGCCCAGCTGCGGGGTGGGCTGGGGATGCTCGGAGGGAAGCGTGGGAGCGGCGAGACCTCCGTGGCCCGGCATCAGCCCAGCCTGACTCACCCCGAGCCGCCAGCCCAGCTGCTCCCCGGCCCCTTGGCACCGCCACATCC